ATGTTTGAAAAAGAATTTTTGGAAAATTAATTTTCGTTTGTGAAAACTCCCTGTTTTTGAAAAGTGTTCAGAAAACCTGTTTTTCGTGAACATGAAAATTAACATAAGGCTTGCAAATATGTATATATATATATATATTATGCATGTATTATATGTATATAATGAATTATGAAAGAGCTGTAAACATAAGATATAAGATATTGTAACAACGTTTGATGAAAAACCATTTATATGATAGAAAACATCAAAAATCGTGTTAAGTGTACATATATTGAGCTTAGATCTAATCATACAATATATGTAAGTAAACTAAACTTATACCTAGGTAAATCCACACATATGAACTTGAATCTTTAACGCTTGATTGATGTGTGTGAAATACCTGTAAAGAGAAACATAAACACAAAACTAGAGAATATATTAGCTATAAATTATTTGACAAATCATCATCAAAACTATAGGGTCAACAATATTGTCTGATCAGAATAAAATATTCAGTTAAGACACTCTATTACATTATATTTGGTTTTGACCTCATTAAAGTAGGACCAGTTGAAAATAGATATGTACTGATCATATTGCATGTAATTTTTATGCTGCACATCCATGATTGATCATGTCATTTGATTGTATTGGTATATGTGATGGGTTTAGTCACGATAAATGTGACGAAGACCACTTTGATCCTATATTGATATTGTCAATGGACGAGATTGTTCGGAAATACCCTTATTTGTGATAGCAATTTCTGAGCTCATAAGGTTGTACACGTTTTAATGAAACATATAGTGCCCAAGTGGGAGATTGTTGGATTAAATCTAATTATGAGCATATATGTTACATTAGTGTATAATGCTATCTTTAAGACTAACCCACATAAAGTGATCAATCAATTTGGGTTAATGGGTATTTAAGTTCATCATGGGCTAAATGTGCAGATACCAGGTTGTAATTATAATTTGATGAGGGGCCAAATTATAAAAGTACAACAACTATAAATAAGGGGTTATGGTCCCTAATCTAGGGTTACATTCTCTATTCTTTTAATCCCTATCTAAAGAGATTCTAAAGGAGAGACCCTCAAGATTAGAAGATCAAACCCTAATTCAGATCCGTGCAAATTCATCATGGATTCAGGTATTACTTCCGCTCATTGTTGTGTTTGTTCTCTTAGAATTAATCATGGTTTTATGGATTAGATCTCAGTTTTAAGATCTAACAATAGCTCCATGAAGAATGACAACCAGTTCGAGGCAATCTAATTCAATAATAATATCTATCCAAAAATAAGAAAGGGCCAAGTGAAAGCTTGTAAGTATCGTGATGGCTTCAGCTTCAAGTATAGTCACAGGGGCTAGAAATGTGCTAGAGGTGCAAATATGGTGGCCAAGGTCGTCTCTGGCAATGGCTTCCCAATCCGAGTCATCAAACAGAGAGGCGGTATCAACATTAATCTTCATGGTGCAAGGAGGAGGAGCAAAACAAGAGAAGAGAGAATTAATTTTGAAAAGGGCTCTTGAGGGCGTCATACTTGGAGAGTGAAAAAAGATATAGACCTGAGTTCACATGAGAGTGAAATTAAGCTTTGGCTTTGAGTAATTGAAGGTAGCATTACTTCTAGCTTTCCAAATGTGCCAAGATATAATGGATGCGAATGCTGTTATAAGAATATTATGAATGAGAGCACTGAACGAGTCTTTCATCCAAGAATTCAACCAAGATGCGAAAGAGGTTGTCGATGGTGTCGTACAAACTTGACCATATCATTCGAGTGAATTGACAACTAATAAGGGGGTGGTCTAGCGTTTCGGTCTCAAGGTAACAAAGGGAACATAAAAGATCGATAGACATATTAATCTTCAATAAGTTGTCTATGGTGGGCAGACTATTGTATATATCTCTCCTAACAAACAACCGCACATAGGGTGAAATAGCTTTAATTAGTGAGAGCTTCAGAATAATCCTTAAAGCTGAGGAGGGAGGGTTTAAATGGGGGGTTAGATTTCATCCACAAAAGGTTGTAAATTTGCCTTGGTGGAAAAGGTTGGTGTGAAGAGACTGTGCCAAGTAAGAGTGTCAGGAGAGTGACGACCAACAAGAGTACGAAGGATGCCATTTGAAATAGGTTGACCAAAAGTCGTCCAGAGAAGATCCACATTCCAAGCGTGAGAGTTGGAGTAAATAAGGTCTTCACCCAAGTGAGATGGGTAGGGAAAGAGGCTGTTTGAGATCGGAACATATTGTTCGAGATATCATTAGTACTACCATCACCGATTATCCAGGAGCAACCCAGTTTGCTCTACTTTCTTCCACCAATAATGACTCGCCACATTGGTAAAATTGAGGACTTGGAAGAGATACACCATAAGTTTTCATTTTTGAGGTATTTGTCTGCAAGTATAGGGATCCAAATAGCCTTTTTATCCATGATAAATTGGCATGTAAGTTTGCTGAGGAGGGCCATATTAGAAACATGAGTGCATCTGATACCAAAACCCCCTCTCGCGAAGAACTTTGGCCTTCAAATCTTATGCCGAATAATAAAATGAGCTTTTCTTTGGTCAGGGCCATGATTGCACCAAAAGCTTCTATACAATCAATTAAGTTGATTGCAAATATTTTTAGGAAGAACAGATGGTACTTTCTTTTTCCAACTTGCAAGTGCCGACTGAGTTTTGGTAACTAGGTGATACAGATGTATCTTCTCTTCGGAAAAGTGATCCCCATGGGAGCTTGAGGATAGGTGATTCTCATTATATCTTGAGAATAGTGGTGTGAAGCGACACGGCAGAGCACAGAGCGTGGAACGAGACGGCGAGCAGCAGATTCGAAGAATCTAGATTTCAGCTCATGAGTCGACTCATACATGTACATGAGTCGACTCATCAGGTTGAGTCGACTCATGCCTGTCATGAGTCGACTCACGAAACCCAGCCGTTTTGTCAAAAGCTTCTGCTCGGTCGACTCATCAATTTATGAGTTGACTCATCAGTCATGCGTCGACTCATATGCAGTCATGAGTCGACTCATCGAGGTTTCCTGGGCAGACTTGGTTTCTGTTTTGAAGGAATTCTAGTTGGGTTTGGTTTTGGTTATTTACCAGATTGCCACCATGTTGTAAACCCTATAAATAGGGATTGTTTAGGGTTCTAAACAGGAGGTTAAAGTCTTAGATGTAGATCTAAAGGGTTTTAGGTCTAAGTGAGATCCTGATCAAAAGGATTAGGATTTAGATTGTGAGGATCTATGAGATCTTAGATCAGAGAGAGATTCTAATCTTTGTATTAGGGTTTAGAGAGGATTGAGAGGTTGTTCTCGATTCTAGTGAGATTGTGAGAGAGTGATTGTAATCTTTTCATACTCATAATCTAGAGAAGGTATTTTTCTTCGCCATACTGAATTGTCTTGTGTTTTAGTTGTCTTCTTCTCAACCCACCTTTTGGTAATTCTGCGACCAAAGGGTGCTCGCACGACAACTCGTATCACTAGGTCAGTAAAATCACAATTTTAACAGACCTTGGAGAGGATACGAGAACTCAAGTACTTATAATTCATATCAATCATATTAAAAATTGGATCGAGTAGCATCTACTCCTCTATACTTAAAAAAGAATCCAAAGAATTACTATTCATGCTATTCAAAGTTACTGTTTATACTACAGCATTACTGTAGCATAAACAGTAAATCAAATTTGCTCATCTATACTTGACTTTATTATTTATGGTACAATAATTTAGTGTATTATAAATAGTAAAGCAAATCAAATGTATTAAAACTTGGATCATTCTTAAGTATAAAGGAGTATATATGATTTCTAAATCAAATATATTAAAACTTAGATCATTTTTTAAATATAGAGGAGTATATATGATTTATAATTTTAAATATATAATAACTAAATTAAACTTATTATAACTTAGAAAAACATAAGTTTAAAATACAGTGTTTAAAAAAATATGGGCTTCGTACCAGTGGCGGATCTAGAGCCTTTTTAGTGGTGGTTCAAAATATGTGTTAATTTTTTTGTTCGAACGATATCCCTTTGATGCAATGATACTATAAAAACGTCCTTGTAAAGTTACATAAAGTAAATCTATTACATACAATTAATGAATGTATAAATTTTCATCCTAAGTAAACTAACTAAATCATTTGACATTAGCATACAAGCTTGGACTTAAGACTCTATACTTATGTGAGAGAGAGGGATGATGTGATACTAATTTCTTGTTAATTTATCTTCTATATTAAAGAAGCTTTATTATGTGAATTGTGAAATGTATAGTTTTTATGGAGGTTAACAATCAAAACAAATGGTAGATATATATTTGAGGTAGATATATATTTGAGGTGGGATTGCATAACAAATGGTAGATATATATTTGCAAAATTTCAGGTGGTTCAAGTGAACCACTTTGAACGTGAATAGGTCCGCCACTGCGCTTTTGCCACTAAATTTCTTTCTATTTCTCCATTTGTCCTGAAAGTCAAAGAAAATAGTATAAGCACAGATAAACCAGAAACTCCTGCAGAATAAAGATAGGTCCATCATATTACCACCACTGTTCAGATAACATAAGCAACTGCCAGTAGCGGACCTATTCATTTAGTAAAATTTCAGGTGGTTCAAGTGAACCATTTTGAACATGAATAGGTCCGCCACCGCTTCGTACTTTGCACGAGTGTCCACTAGTTGGGT